TGGAAACAGTCCACAGACATGCCCAATCATGCTTTCTACAGTCCCACCGAGCATGTCTTGTCATGGATGAGAGTTCATCGATCTGCCTCGATCGTTCCGGTTATCCTTCGCTCCATGTATCCCAGTTGGGAAAGATGCCCCGAAGCGACTACGGTTTGCCGTAAAAGCAGATAGCGCAGAAGATACGCCGAAGAGCCCCCAGAGCCAGTGCTAGCTTTCTCCACAAAAGCCCACTCTTTTGGGCAGCATACGGTTACGTTATAGTCGTTTCGAATTGCCAGTTCGCGGGGAAGGTCACTTCGGGTGAGCACTGACCACATTCTCACTTGGTAAGAGATGGACCCCAAGAAGCACCAAAAGGTCGAAGCTCACCAAGCATGCCTATGCGATGTACACAAATTGCTAATTTGTCGATACAGGATCTCGATAGACTTGCTCGCATCCGAGAAAATCAGCGGAATAGTCGCGCTAGGAAACAACAGCACACCCGCGAGTTGGAAAAGAAGTTGGCTGCTTTGCAAGAACAAGCGCGTCACCGGGATGTGGAACATAGAATGGCCGTGCAGAAGCTTGAGGCGGAGAACAGGAAGTTGAGATATCTTCTGACTCGTTCGGGCTTGCCGTCGGAATTATTAGAACAGTATCTGCAAATTGATGATCCAGCCTTGACTGAGAAGGTAGCCATTCCGAAGCTTCGTTCGACTGAAGCACAATGCCAGTCACAAGACAGTCCAGCCTGTATACCAAAGGCGAGAAATGCTGCTACTAGTGCACTACAATCAATTGGGTCAGGCCTTTCTAGTCCGGGACAAAGCTGTGATCGTGTTACAAAGCCTCGGTCGGAGATTGTGCAAGGGGCCTCGGACATTGAAGTGCCCGTCCGAGACCAATCTGTCTGTGGCTGCGGCCCAGGCGAAGCTGTGGAGTCATGGCCAAGCAATGGAGATGTTCTGAATACTACGCTTTGTGCCATTGCAGATGAATTGATCGACCAGTACAATACTCGTGGAGTGGAGCTGTCAGAGATCCGCAGGAAACTCTGGGCCGGTTTTTCCAAAGGACTCACTACAGAGGAGGGATGCAGAGTACAAAATCATATACTGTTTCAGGTTCTGGACGAGATAAGCAACAGCTGACATTATGTCTATTGTTTTGTGATGGTATCCAATATAGGCTCATCAATACGGTTAAGGAGCCCACTTTTGTCTTTTTGCAACCCACTTGACCACATATACCAACCCCAGAAGCACGGGGACCTCAATGAGAGGTCCAACTGTTGCTGCCAAAGCCTGGTCACTATCCACGCCAAATGTTGCTATCGCGACTGCGATAGCGAGCTCAAAGTTATTGCTGGCAGCAGTGAAACTCTGCGTGCAAGACAGTCTGTATCCGAAACCGCAGCGCCGTGTTACGGCAAGAGTGACACCAAAAATGACAGCAAAGTAGACCACCAGAGGCGCTGCTACCCGGATAACAGATACGATCTGGTGGACCACATGTCGCCCCTGCGACGCAAATAGAACCAAGATGGTGAACAGCAGGCCGATCAGGGACAGCGGGCTGATCCATTTCAAGAAATGCTTATCGTACCACTCTCTGCTGATCAGGAACCTAAGGGAGAAACGAGTGACGATAGCTGCTCCCAGAGGTATACCAAGGAATACGCCGACGCTTTTTGCAGCCAGCGAATAGTCGATTGTTAGACCATGATTCGCTCCACCAATGACGCGAATGAAGAAGATGGCGAGGGGTGCGAATAGGACCATTTGCAAGATCGAATTTATGGCGACTAGAATCGCGCAGTATTCCCCATCACCCCCTGCTAGTCCTGTCCAGACGAGGACCTATGCACGTCAGCTTGTTGCACTGCTTCCAGGCAGGAGTGTCATACCATGGCAATGCATCGAGCAATACCGACAAGGATGAGGCCTTCTCGAAGGCCCCTCTCGTCAGGAAGAAACGCCCAGGCGAGACCGAGCTACCTCACATTAGCCCACCATTACCCACAATGTGACACGGACCTACCATGAACAGCGGAGCTATGATCCAATTGACGACAATGCTGAATCCAACCTGCACCCACAGTCCCTTTTCCCGAAATGACCGATGCAGCGTTTCGAACCTCACTTTACACAAGATGGGATACATCATGACCAAGAGACCGATAGCTAGGATGCTGTTGGCATGTACTCTTCCATATTCAATTTCAATCAATGAATGGACAACAACGTACCAATAGGCACAGAAACGCCCACAAACTTCCCCCTCTCTAGCGCTTTGCTCGTATTAGGGACGAAGTTCCCCAAAATTATACCAACCGCCATGGCAAGGAAGATCCAGACCGCAAGGAAGCGATCCAGTATAGCCAATTGCTGGAAAGCAGACGATGGGCCTTCTTCGAAATGGTCATGCTGACTCTCGCTGCACGCCTCTACATCGGGATGATCCTTCTCTTCGTGTTCCATCGTAGGAATCATCCTTTCGATAATATAATTAGACGCGCAAGCGTAAAATGAGAATACATTCCATGGTCCTTGCTTTTTTGATGCCATACATCGGGACGCCAAGTCGAACAACCAATCAGAATCGAGCAGTGACATACTGCGTATCACGTGATATACGGAGCCCACGGTACTGTACTATAGAGATCCAATGCTCTTAGAAATACCAGAGCACAGCATCATATATTCATTCAAATATCTGCAAACATTATGCCCCCCCCGAAGTAGTATTACCTGGGAGTTATCGATGCAGAAACCTGTGCTTGATATCGACCAAAGCAAGTACACCCTGTAGACCAGGTTACAGGAGTTCTCAGATTGTCTGAAGCGAATTAGTAGTGACTTGATTGATAAAATGTCTCTTCTAATCCCTTCCACTAAATGATAATACATATTTCCCTCCCCTACCCAAATCGTGGCAATATAACCCACAGACATTTGGAACGAAATGCAGGAGAGAGAGAAAGGAAAGTAAACCCCCAGAAGGAGAAAGAAGTAATAAATCTGTGTAAGATTCGGGCCTAACCGATCCGATGATCCGAAGCGCAGCATCTAGTAATTTTAGTGCCAAAGGAAGAAAAAGAGATTGAGCACGCGCCGTGGATAATGGGGAAAGGTATAGGCATGGATACATGCAATGTAACGTCATAGTTGACGGGAGAGAGACAAAGAGAGCAATTAATCTCGTGTGTTTTTGTTCCCCGACAAGACAGACATTAATCTGTATATCTTTTGCATTAGGAGGTATAGTATAAATTTTCTGGTTTAGATCTAGTTGGTAGTCACACCTCCAGATTCATTATTCTGACTGCCTAGTGCATTTCACTTCGCTCGGACCCCTCTACTAAATGTCTAAGTCGCCGATGAATATCCGGAGTACAGTACATGATGCCGTCCGTTGATATTACTAATGGTGGATACCCTATAGGACTGCTTATAATTGTAGGATACGAGAACACTGGAATGATTCTACCGGACATACCACCTGCCCGTCGTACGGGTAATCATCGGCAGGAAGACAGGCTAGTGTGGATGCCGTTCGGGTTCATCCGTCAATGAGCCTTGGTGAGTTGCTACATGTCCCCGGGTTTGCCGCGGTTGTGGCTGGTGGAGGTCCCAGTTCCAGGATACACCCCACACGGGGAAGGGTTGAAATTGCGAAGGCTAACTCGGGTGTCTAATACACTGTTTAATGAGTACCTTCTGCCGGGCTTTGCTTGATTAGTATGCCATGGGAAAATAGCCCTGGCTTCATTTCCAATGCATGTACGAGGGCGTCGTGCTGCTTGTAAGCTTTTAGTGGCTGGGACACTTTACCTTGAACCTGTTCTATATCAGTGATACAGATGCGACTTTTCTAGACTTCCCGTAGATATCGGATACCAGGCTCGGGGCTTTCGGGTCCATGTAGCTGATTTACTTCCCGTCTCGAGGCTTTCGGCGTCAAGATGATTTTCGAATATCGGCATGCCTAGCAGCAAACAGGATGTCAGTCGGAAAGATGCCGTTGCTTGTTATCCTGGGTGTGTGAGACCAGGAGCGCGGATGGTGCGGGGGTGGGAGGCTCGAGTCAAAGCCAGCCAAATCTTGGCAGATGACGCCTGGACAGATCAGGATTGATCTTAGAAAATTAGGTAAAGCAAGCGAGAGGCAAATAGTAATGCACGTCGGGCTCAGAGGGGGCCGCAACCGGAGTACTCGGCAGTTCAGAGTCGAAGAATAGAACTCATCTTCGATCATGCAATCTAGTATATCCCGTACCCACAAACAAACTGGGTCTTTGGTTACCTTTCAAAGGAAGGCGACATATTGGTAAGCAAAAGAAATGGAAGAAATGGCTCAACTTCTACCCGTAATCGGAGGTCGAGCGGGCTAGTTTGTCGTCCATGACGGAAACAAGACTTTCATCGAGTCTGAATCCCGAATCCTCAGGGTACTAGACCATACTAGTGAGTAGTAGTGAGTACCCCACGGAGAAATTCCCCACATCTTCAACTAACCCCGAATGGCCTGTCTCTGCATGAGCGCATGCGGCACCTGACCGAGAGCAGCCACCCTCCGAGAAAATTCTACGAAAACGATGCCTTTCTTGTAACCCGGTCAAGCGTTATGGTTCAAGATCATTAGACTGCCATGTGGTCGGCAATGTCCGCTCTACCGGCGATGCGTGGACGATCAACAGTCCGGACTTTGTCCGAGAACTCACTGCGTACAAGCAGTGGATGTCTTGACTAGGACTTAGATAACACCCCATAGTCATGCAAGCAATTTCTCATCTTCAGAGAGTACTCTGACTGTTTGACAAGGCCACTAACGTTATTATTTTGCAGTGGCGCCCCATCACCGTCAGCAGCACCTTAGCCGAAAGTGGGGTAATTTCTTCCCCCAGGCTAACCGCTAACCTGGATAAATGATGAGCGACATTTGTGTTTAGGCGACACCGAGGATAATCGGAGTCAAGAGTGACGCCCGGAATATCGAGAGCAGTGAAGACGTCCCGTTCTTCTTCCGACGGGCTCCCATCTGTGTTGTAGGAAGAAGGAGCTGCTTACCTCATCTCCTTCACCTCCCAAAGTGGAGCATCCCTTCTACTGTTGACCGAAATTAAGAGATTCCAAAGGGAGGAGTGCATTGTTTAGAAAGTGGTAGGTATGGGCTGACCCTTGCGGGAGGCCGTTGGGTCGACGTAAGGTGCATTGAAGCCATGTCGGTACGATGACATTTGTTGTGCTCAGAGACCGCGCTTGGCGGTATCTGCTTGTCTGACATGTCGCCAGGCACCTGTCTAACCAACTGGGTTTATGGTGTACTCTGGTTGTGCCATCGGTCTGACCGCTGGGAAGCTGCTGGGGTGATGAAGGGAAATGCGGGGAATGCTGGGGTGATGAGTGGAAGAAGACGGGATTACACGGTGGATACTGGATTCACACACAAGAGTGACGGTAAGACGCCCAGCCGGATTCGGACCAACAATAGACTTGACGGCACGGATCCATGGGACTCTGGTTAGTAGTTCATAGTACGAAAGTAGTACCTGTGGAGGACTAATTCCTCCAATGACGACAGAGCGGAAAAACTCCCTCTGCTTCATGCTCAATTTCCCCATGCGCCATAGGTATTCACGTCGAGTAAGTAGAAGCTAAAATGTGCAGGGCCACTCGGGATTCGCTCTGGATGGAGTATTGTTTGGCTTTTCCACCTGCTGTATCGAGTTGTTGGCGGGAATGAGCCAGACTTGCATGGAGATGAACTGCTAGACTGGTGTCTCAGTGAAGAATGTAAAAGTTGATTTGATACACCTTCCAAATCAGACATACATCAACAAGGATGTAGTCGAGAAAGGCAAAATATCATGCTTCTATGAGTTAGTTAATCGTTAACTAATGGTGGTATTGACGTAAACTTGGATGGTGCAGGTAATGATGCTGGTTTACCCACAGCTGCAGGGACTGGACGAGGTACTGTGTAACGTAATTACCGGGGCGACCCCTGGCCAAAAAGTAGTGAACTAAACTAAATCCCCTTACCCGAATGGCTTCTTCCCCCCCCAGCTTTTCGTATTTTCCCACTACCCAAGACCATCTCCAGCTTGGTCACTATTGCACTAAAAATGGTCAAAGGAAGCGGGGCTCCAGACTTGTTCCAGCGTCGACCACGGACGCCGTTCCCCATGTTGTGCTGGTCTATAGGCTAGGAATAATCCTTACCCCGGTCAACTCAACCTCACCTGACCCTCCGACCTCTTTTGCCAACCGATGTAGAGTTTGTACATGGCTCTGCCGGCCCGAATGCATCATCGCTCGAGCTCCTTCCAGCTTCCCCGACAGTGCCTTGCTTGCCTAATTTCCGACTCCTCCAGGGCCGGTCTACTGGCTTGTTCCACCCAGTCTCCCAATCGGGACATCCCACGTCGATCAGCATACCGGACCAAACATCCATCGCCCATGCTTAGCGTGTCTCTCTTTGACACTGCATGCGGGACTGTGAATTGCATGAGTGGGTAGCTTTGCGGAGACAGCTGCACTGGCATACATCATCGTTGGGTTCCTCAATTCGCGTGCCGTGGCGGACGGTCACTTTGTGGCGCTCAAACTATTTAATATGGCCCAGCTCCCCTTTCTCTCGCTGTTTTCGTTTCTGTCCTCCCTAAACCTCAAGTCTCTCCATTGGACAGGTGTTGCACGGTTGCTCACCTGGTTTGTTTTGCTCCCCCTTTGGGCGACCTTGCCATCATGAGGTTCACTTTGATCGAGGCGGTGGCTCTGACTGCCGTCTCGCTGGCCAGCGCTGTACGTGCCGTTACTTTGTCCTGTGAATTGCAATTGCGCTCAATTAGATTCACATGTTTGTTTCATCATCGCTGACAATGGTCTATTCATAGGATGAATTGGCCTACTCCCCACCGTATTACCCATCCCCTTGGGCCAATGGCCAGGGCGACTGGGCGCAGGCATACCAGCGCGCTGTTGATATTGTCTCGCAAATGACACTGGATGAGAAGGTCAATTTGACCACTGGAACTGGGTAGGGCTTACATGGCGCAATGTGTATGTTCCGGCTAACAACTTCTAGATGGGAATTGGAACTATGTGTTGGTCAGACTGGCGGTGTTCCCCGGTAGGTTTGAAAAGATTGTCGAGACGGGGCATTTATTGATTAACGGTGACAGATTGGGAGTTCCGGGAATGTGTTTACAGGATAGCCCTTTGGGCGTTCGCGACTGTAAGCCATCTGCTGTTGTTAGGCTTCGATGCTCTTACTGACACGGCGCAGCCGACTACAACTCTGCTTTCCCTGCCGGTATGAACGTGGCTGCAACCTGGGACAAGAATCTGGCATACCTTCGCGGCAAGGCTATGGGTCAGGAATTTAGTGACAAGGGTGCCGATATTCAATTGGGTCCAGCTGCCGGCCCTCTCGGTAGAAGTCCCGATGGTGGTCGTAACTGGGAGGGCTTCTCCCCCGACCCGGCCCTAAGTGGTGTGCTCTTTGCAGAGACCATCAAGGGTATCCAAGATGCTGGTGTGGTTGCGACGGCTAAGCACTACATTGCCTACGAGCAAGAGCATTTTCGTCAGGCGCCTGAAGCCCAAGGTTATGGATTTAACATTTCCGAGAGTGGAAGCGCGAACCTCGACGATAAGACTATGCACGAGCTGTACCTCTGGCCCTTCGCGGATGCCATCCGTGCAGGTGCTGGCGCTGTGATGTGCTCCTACAACCAGATCAACAACAGCTATGGCTGCCAGAACAGCTACACTCTGAACAAGCTGCTCAAGGCCGAGCTGGGCTTCCAGGGCTTTGTCATGAGTGACTGGGCTGCTCACCATGCTGGTGTGAGTGGTGCTTTGGCAGGATTGGATATGTCTATGCCAGGAGACGTCGACTACGACAGTGGTACGTCTTACTGGGGTACAAACTTGACCATTAGCGTGCTCAACGGAACGGTGCCCCAATGGCGTGTTGATGACATGGCTGTCCGCATCATGGCCGCCTACTACAAGGTCGGCCGTGACCGTCTGTGGACTCCTCCAAACTTCAGCTCATGGACTAGAGATGAATACGGCTACAAGTACTACTATGTGTCGGAGGGGCCGTACGAGAAGGTAAACCAGTACGTGAACGTGCAACGCAACCACAGCGAACTGATCCGCCGCATTGGAGCGGACAGCACGGTGCTCCTCAAGAACGACGGCGCTCTGCCCTTGACTGGCAAGGAGCGCCTGGTCGCGCTTATCGGAGAAGATGCGGGCTCCAACCCTTATGGTGCCAACGGCTGCAGTGACCGTGGATGCGACAATGGAACATTGGCGATGGGCTGGGGAAGTGGTACTGCCAACTTCCCATACCTGGTGACCCCCGAGCAGGCCATCTCAAACGAGGTGCTTAAGCACAAAAATGGTGTATTCACCGCCACCGATAACTGGGCTATCGATCAGATTGAGGCGCTTGCTAAGACCGCCAGGTAAGAAGATCCCCGATTCTTTTCCTTCTTGTGCAATGGATGCTGACAACATGCTAGTGTCTCTCTTGTCTTTGTCAACGCCGACTCTGGTGAGGGTTACATCAATGTGGACGGAAACCTGGGTGACCGCAGGAACCTGACCCTGTGGAGGAACGGCGATAATGTAATCAAGGCTGCTGCTAGCAACTGCAACAACACAATCGTTGTCATTCACTCTGTCGGACCAGTTTTGGTTAACGAGTGGTACGACAACCCCAATGTTACCGCTATCCTCTGGGGTGGTTTGCCCGGTCAGGAGTCTGGCAACTCTCTTGCCGACGTTCTCTATGGCCGTGTCAACCCCGGTGCCAAGTCGCCCTTTACCTGGGGCAGGACTCGTGAGGCCTACCAAGATTACTTGGTCACCGAGCCCAACAACGGCAACGGGGCCCCCCAGGAAGACTTCGTCGAGGGCGTCTTCATTGACTACCGCGGATTCGACAAGCGCAACGAGACCCCGATCTACGAGTTCGGCTATGGTCTGAGCTACACCACTTTCAACTACTCAAACCTTGAGGTGCAGGTTCTGAGCGCCCCTGCGTACGAGCCTGCTTCGGGTGAGACTGAGGCAGCGCCAACTTTTGGAGAGGTTGGAAATGCGTCGGACTACCTCTACCCCGACGGACTGCAGAGAATCACCAAGTTCATCTACCCCTGGCTCAACGGTACCGATCTCGAGGCATCTTCTGGGGATGCTAGCTACGGACAGGACTCCTCGGACTATCTTCCCGAGGGAGCCACCGATGGCTCTGCGCAACCGATCCTGCCTGCTGGTGGCGGTCCTGGCGGCAACCCTCGCCTGTACGACGAGCTCATCCGCGTGTCAGTGACCATCAAGAACACCGGCAAGGTTGCTGGTGATGAAGTTCCCCAACTGGTAAGTAAAAATGAGGTCCGAACGAGGTTGAACAAAGCTAATCAGTCGCAGTATGTTTCGCTTGGCGGTCCCAACGAGCCCAAGATCGTGCTGCGTCAATTCGAGCGCATCACGCTGCAGCCGTCGGAGGAGACGAAGTGGAGCACGACTCTGACGCGGCGTGACCTTGCAAACTGGAATGTTGAGAAGCAGGACTGGGAGATTACGTCGTATCCCAAGATGGTGTTTGTCGGAAGCTCCTCGCGGAAGCTGCCGCTCCGGGCGTCTCTGCCTACTGTTCACTAAATAGCTCTTAAATGGCATACCATGATGGCCATGGTATATGAATTAATGATTTATGCCAATAGCAAGACCACTGTAGATGCAGATGTAGAATGTGTATTGCGTAGTAGCGTGTAGATGATGATACAAGCGATCTGACACATGGTAGGAAGAGTGGCGCTAGTTGGGCCGGAAACCAAGCGACGTCATCCGCTGCCGACTTCGCCAGTCTTTCTTCTTTTCCTCTTCAGCCTTCTTCCTCCGCTTAATCCAGCGACCATTGCCAATTGCCTCTACAACAGCCGATTACTATAACACTCTACTCCTGTTCAATATATACACCACAATAACGACATATATACACCTGCCTGGACACACTAGCAACAATGCCCTCTCCCGACCCTCCAGCCCCAGCGATACGACCCTTCCAACCACCCATAACAGCGCTCCTCATCTACCCAGCGACCCTAATCGTGGGCTCACTCTTCTCCGTCCTCTCTCCCACCGCACAAGGCACGCGCGACGACGGCTCCAGCACCCTCCGCCCCCACGTTGAGCCCCTAGCCCCGTCCATCGCGTCAGACCTCAACCTCTCCTTTCCTCCGCCGCGCCCCGTCAACTACTTCGCCCGCAAAGACAACATCTTCAATCTATACTTCGTCAAAGTCGGCTGGCTCTGGACCACCGCCGCTCTCGCTTTCATCCTGCTCTCCCAGCCCGCCTACACCCTCGCCGCTAGCCACCGCGCCCGACGCACTGGCCAGGCCGTCCTCCGCTACGCCCTCGCCACGACAGTGTGGTATCTCACGACGCAATGGTTCTTCGGCCCGCCGATTATTGATCGCAGCTTTGTGCTGACGGGCGGGAAGTGTGAGCGGGCGGTGCCGTTGGCGGAGAACGAGCCCGCCGCGGCGGATGTCAAAACGCTGTTGACGGCTGCGGCGTGTAAACATGCGGGTGGGGCGTGGAGGGGTGGTCATGATGTTAGTGGACATGTGTTCTTGTTGGTGTTGGCGACGTCGTTGGTTGTGTTTGAGTTGGTAGGGGGGAGTCAGGGTTGGGGGAAGGGCGGTGTGAGTGTGAATGTGAATGGGAATGGGGAGGCGGAGAAGGAGGTGAGTGAGGAGGTGGATGTCGTGAGGGTTTGGTCTGGCAGGTTTGCTTGGGCGGTTGCTGGGTTAGGGTGGTGGATGTTGTTGATGACGGGTATTTGGTTCCATACGTGGTTTGAGAAGGTATGTTGCTGTCTGATTGGGGGTGAAGTGATGATGATGACGA